ATTTAATGGCGTTTGGTTATTCTGATAACCTAGAACTTAATATTTTATATTAAACATACTCTTATATTAATATAAAATATCAAGTTCAGTCTCCTAAGAAAATTCTCTATAGAAAATTTAGAGTACTAAAACTCGTGCAACCGCCATACATTATAATGTTGCCAAGTAATTAAATTCAACAAAAAAGGTAAAATGTTGCCACACGATTTCCGTGTTACGAAACTTTTTTCTGACCAACTACTTTCTTGAATCACGAACATACGCGGCTGAATTTTAATTGCTTTGAAGGAAACCGAATATTTCAAGTTTTTTACTTGTACTTTCAGATTTTATTAGGAAATTGCTGAGTTATTTTGTTGCAGTAGTTGCTAATAAAGTATAGAATTAGTTGGAAAGTTATTTCTCACGTGTGATTGTGGCCCGTTGGCTTGTTTTTATATACAGAAAAGTGTGGTTTTCGTTTTATTTCCTCAAAACTTAGCAGAGGTGCATAATATGTAAAAAGTAGCACTAATATTTGGTTAGTCATAACGGGTCGATGGATATGTGCTGGTTTTGAATAGTACTTATCGTGAGACATGCTAAATTTAAAAGCTCTACTAGTTTCAAGTTACTACGGGACTCTTTATATTCATGAGCAGCGTGCGCGTCTGTGACGTCACGCAGCCTACATACTATTCGAGATTGTGCGCCCACTCACTCTCTGCCGGCAAACGCGCGGTTTCTTCCAACCCTGACTTTGTGCCGACCCGAGAATCGGACCTACTCCGCTAAACAAACCGCGCACCTGACACCGTTGGAAGAAAGTGTGTGCACTACGCTTAGGTCTAGACACCTAAATTTTAGAATTAAAAAAACGAAAGAAAAGAAAACATATAGTCTAAAACTCAACAAATTCACTCAGAAATGATGTAATCTCTGCAATCAGAAGCACTCGACATGAACTCAAACGTTAGCCTTCGACAAATCTCGGATTTGATATGCTCAGAAAAGAAACTTTTAAAATTTGTCGAAAAAATGACGTTATTCGACATTTTTGTCGAGTTCGCCACCATTTCTAAAGCCAAGAATTGGCCCCCTGTTTTCAGGACTTTCTCCTAACAAAAAGAAAGTGCCTCAGGGCTGTACTCTAGAACCAACCTTCAGCAGTCACAGTGTAACTTAAGTGTTAAAAAAAACCTATTTATAAAGTAGATATTATTATGGACAATGAGTACATATAAATACTCGATGCCCTTCATAACCAGAATGGCGTAAAGTACAACATTGTCCGGGCAGGGCGGAGTAGATAACGAGAGATGAATGGTCAGCATTCGTCTCGCGGCTGTATCCCCTGACCTTTACAATACCTTTTGTCGCTTGGAGGGGCTAATTTATTATTTTTCGAGTTTTTGTACCAAGCTGCGTTTTTAGGACAAGTGCTGCCGTGTTACCCGGTTTAGTACAGTTCGTTTCAAATAGTACAAGGTTGGTTTGAGCTTTATAAACGAAATTTTTAAATGGTTCTTGGGTCGTTCCTTGGTAAGTTGATAGGATAAGCTGTTGTACCTATTAAACATTTAATTCCTCAAGAAAGTAAGTGCGGTAGGTTTTACATTACATTATTAGATTTTATAAAAGTAATATTAGGTATGCAGTTTGTAGTACATATATTTAGAGTTTCTCGTTTCAAGTTTTTTTGCACCACACTAGAATTTTCTCCTGTGTCGTGACTCGTGGGTGCGTAATTCACACACACACACAAGCCATCCAGAACCGAAACAACGATTTGTGAGTCACACAAAGTGGTGTTCCGTGCGGGAATTGAATCCGCGACACGTTGCATAGCAGCTAGATGCCCAGCCACTGCGTAAGCCATGCAGTCCTAAGGTGATAAGTGTCATATTAATTACAATAAATCTAATTCTGTAAGTACATGGGCCTGAATTTGAATTCATAAAGTCTTAAAAGAAGTATTAAACGATTTTTCAAAAAAACACTGCTGATATAGTTTTCTAAAAGAATTATTTTGACAGTTTTTTTCCAGACACGGTTACCTAAACAACGTCGGAACGATATATTTAATTTACTTTTTACGTAAAAAATGGCTCCTATTTTTCTCTCAATGTAGCACATTTTAATATAAATAAAAAACATTTTATATTTACAAAAACACTTTCATAATTATTTAGAAAACAACTTTATTTTATAAACACAAATACAAATGCGTGTTCAATTAATAAAACAGAAAAATAACAACTCTAACTACACATTTTTACCGTACATTTTTCAATAGCACATGACTTTTGCAAATACATGAATATTACATGGAATTTTCAACTTTAGTTTGTGATGACGAAGGTGCAATTTAGATTTTTTACTTGCTCGTTTGATTTCGTGATCGTGTTTATGATTTATGCAAGAGGTCGATAGGTGAATGCCTTGTAAAGGGTGTTTGTTTTTTGAAATATTGTTTTGAATTATGTTTGAAGTTATGATAGCTAAAAATCTCGCTTACATAAAATGAAACTCATTATAAAGAACTTAAAAACTTGAATTATAAATAACGAACTTAAAATCTTGTATTAATAATAACTTTTTTTTTGTTAAAACATTTGAAAGTCGCAGTCGGGGTCACAAGTCAAAGTAATTATTTCATTTAATTCTTAGACTTACACTTTTGAAACGTCGATATTGGATTGTCCGTCAGTGACATTCCTAGAGTTATATTCGCGTGTCATATTTTTAATATATTTATATACCTATATAATATAATTCTGCTGTACGCGTGTGTGTCATTGAACTCCCCAAAACGGCTTGATCAATTTCAACGATTTCTTCTGTATGAGTTTGAGTCGCGTTCTGAATGGTTTAGATTCACAAATCAGCCCGGTAGATGGCGCTGATTGCTTGAAAAAGCATGTGATCTCGGAAACGGCCCTAACGGTTTCGCTGAAATTTGATATATATTAAGAGGGTCCGTTTAATATATAAATAAATGTAACTAAAAAAGAAATGGTGCAAATGTAATTTAATTTTTAAATGTATATATGTATGTAATCAATGTTACCAATCATAAACTATTTAGTTTGATAAAGCTATTATAGCTTTTATTTAAGGTTAAAATAAAATATTTAGAGGTATTAAATTATTTCTACGCAAATTATATGAACATAAATATATTAGAATAATTAAAATTACAAAATGCATTGAATAACTATAACAGTAAACATATAAATAACGAAAACGACTGTACAATTATTTTGAACTCATAGTCATTTGAATTTGCAACTGGCTGCAACTTAGTCAATTTGTTATTCAGATTAAAACTAATCGCAGTTTCACGTTCAGTTAAATTTTAACATATTCGAAAATGTTTTGTTTGTCAATTTGGTTCAGTGGATATTATTACAACTTCACGATATCACTACATAATATAAATAGTCGTTTTCTCTGTATCTATGCAACTACGCAACGGATTTTGAGCCGGATTTTTAATAGATACATATAGTGTTTAAAGAGGAACGTTTATATGTGTGATAACATCTAACAAGTAGTAGTTAGTATTAGCGTTGCACCCGTGCGAACAAAGTAACGGATTACTTAATGACAAGCATTGACGTTCGCAATAGACATCAGATCACTTACAAATTTAATACTTTATCAGCTTTGGGATTTTAGGACTCAGGTTATTATAGTATGCAGGTTGTAGGCAGTCCCAAAGGAGAATAAACTCTTTAGGTATGCTTTTTATCAAAATAATTTGTAAATAGGATTTCGAATGACTGATCTAAGCAATTATTCGGATACCGGTTTCTAACCTAAAGCACGACAATCTTTGTTAAAATAATAATCTTTGTAATAATAAATCCAAAGATGAATCGACAAGCATTATGAAAAGAATACAAGTACTCAAGTTGTATAGCCTTCTTAAAACATTTTGCTCTCGAATTGAAACTTAAATTCCGTCTCAAACTTTATATCTAGATTTTGGTATTCCAGATAAACTGGATTTCTGGACGCTCGAATAATTCCTTTTTCCAGTCGATCCAGCGATTAAACCGCCAAGATTCGCAATGAACCGTTGCAAGTTCATTCGACGGACTCAAAAGGAATGTTGTTCCCATTTCGTTCTTTTGAACGAGTTGGTAATTGAATTCATTCTTTATTCCACCATGAATGAATGAGCGAATGAATGAACATAGTGGTGATTGAATGGATTTAAGGAATTCGTGATTGATTCTATTAATAGAGGAAATAGATTTATTATTGTCGTGACAACTTGCCAATTTATAACTTGGGGTTAATTTAGGGGCAGTCTAATTTATTTCTGTACTGATACATAGTAGGCACTTCTATTATATTTCAGATTTAAGACTGAGATTGTCACTTTTTGAATAGAAAGTGTAAGTGAAACGTTAGCTGTATGCTTCTATTTGTTGACGTGGAAAAAGCATTAAGTGTGGGAGGGCCATGCTTCGGCACAAATGGGTCGGCTCGACCGGACAGATTGATACCACGGCCTCAAAGAAAACCGGGGTGAAATAATTACAGTGTTGTGTTTCGCCATGTGAGTGAGGAGGTCTAATCCTGCCACCCCAATCCCTAAACCCCAAAAGGTCGGCCACGCACTTGTTACTTCTATTGCGGGTGTCCATGGGCGGCACTGATTGCTTACCATCAGGTTTTCATTCTGCTCGTTTGCCGAGCTATCAAATAAAAAAAAGTTATGTGATTTTCAGACTCTTACTAAGCAAAAACCACCCCGTTCCTTCTTCTGCTTTATATTTTATACGCCTCGTTTACATATAATTATAAAAATACTTTCATAATTCTCTACAGGTCATGTCCAGTTAGTACAATTAGCATTGCAAGGTCATGAGAACCATTTCGGCAGTTTGTGACTAATATTATAATTCCAACATACTAATTACATAATCGTAGGCTTTCGTAACACGAGTTTCTACTTTAGTTAGTAGTAAAAACCACGCGATGTGAGAAAAATAAATAAAAGTTAAGTCATGGTGGCTAGAAGGTTAAGGCACCCGTTTTCCATGCATGAGAGTGCGGAGTCTAAGCCTGGCAAGTATCAATGTGAGTTTTTCTAAGTCATGTGTCATTTCTAACTACGTTTAGACACTATTGACAAACGGTCGAGGAAGACGTCGTGAGGAAACGGAAAAGGAGTTGTTGTTATTCTTTTAATTATAACTATGTGTATAAATTTTCTTTAATGTTTTTAATTCCAATACATTTTAATTTTATTAATTCTTAACAATAATCGATTTAAAAAACAGTAAATAAAAATACAAACATTAGCATTCTTTTTTTTTTAAAGTAAATAATTCTTTTAACAATTTTTGAATTTTAAATTAATTTTAAAATTTACGATCCATTCAGTAAGCAGTGCCTTCATCAATAACACCAATTTACAATCATTGCTATCATAAAAGACATTTTAAAAAGACCGATAATATCGGTCTTTTTAAAATGTTGTTAGACTTAGAAAATTTAATAATATTAAATTTTCTAAGTCTAACAAGCAGATTATCCGGTAATTGGGTTTAGATCTAGACTTAGGATTTAGACGGTGGTCTAGACGCTAGACCTTAATATGCCAAGATAACTAACACTGTCGTTAGTGTGGGGCGGTAAAGTCAGCGGGGATTAGTATCGGTTTTAATTAGGTAGGTCTGGGAGAATATTGTGATCGGGACCGTGTCGGCAGAATAGCATTTTTTTATTATTCTTTTTGTAATTATATCGACATCCTATTTTCAGTTATACTTTTTGTATGAACACTACCTCCATATTAGCTGGCAGCATAAAAATAGCTATGGAATTGTAAAAAATGAAACACAAAACAATTGATTAAATAGAACATGTAAAACAATCGATTAAAAGAGCTGAGTCCGTAAGCACGTACGTTTTTATTAACTATACTTTTTAAAGTGGGCCATCACCCATAGTCTATGCATATTACGCCTAGTGAAAAGCGATGATTCAACTAATAATGGAAAACACATAAGAAACCTATTTACTGTGACCTTGAATACACCTATGTAATACATAATATATACCATTCGGGAACAAAGACTTCGGTATAGAACTCCTAAGTGGTTCTGATGAAATACACTATCGTAGACAATTTAATTTCATCATCAGCTGATAAGTGCCTACTACTGGACAAAGGCTTCTTCATTTTAAAGTATAATTAGAAATTATAGGTACGTTTTCCTTCATAGTATGTCAGGAGTGTCTAAATAATCTTAGAAAGTTAATATAACACGGAAAAAGTAATAATAATTTTAGTATTTGTCAGGTTTCAAACAAAAACCTTACCTTACTAACTAACAAACGCATAATTACCAAAAACCAGTAATGAATTTACCACCACGCTGGTTTTAAAGCCTATTACATAACCATCACAGTTAATCTTCCAGCTAGACACTAACTTTAATCTGATAATAAGCAGACACCAGCTCTAACTAGTTTTCTACGGTTTTGGCTAGAATGCTTCCTAGGAATAATTCTGTGAACTAGATTGGTTATTTTAGAATCAGATTCTAATTACTGATTGGTATTTAAAAAAAGAGAGAATGTTTTACTTGTGGTAGAGCTATGCTTTGCCACGAATGACCCGGTTCGAATGGAGTGATATTACGATCAAAGTCAAAGTCAAAATAAATTATTTCAATTAGAACCATGCAGGCACAGGCCACATACATCATCATCATCATTATTATCAGCCGGAAGACGTCCACTGCTTCTTTCTTAGTTTTCCACTCCGAAATACAAGACGTCACGTCAGAAGTACAGGCACGTTTGAAATGTTAAAATGTAACTATCCGTTTCTCTAACCGACAAAGTACATACATTCCGTGAAAATAACCCTAAAGCTAGGTGTTCGTTTTAACACATAGATTCGTATGGAGAACTAGTTAAAGAAATTCCATGAATTTCGTAGTGGGTAGGGTTTCTGCATACCAGGAATAAACGTATGAGTTTGAGTATGTGTTCAGTGTTTGTTCACTGTCTTCGTGTTGAGTCTTCGTTTTTTACTAAATAAGTGAGAAGACTTTATATATAGATAGGTGAGCATAAAATTTATCAAAATTCATATGTACTATATATGCACCCACCACAGATTTTCTATTGTACATAGATCTGGGCATACATGTAACTATATACATACATATCTATATATAATAATATTAAAACTCAGCAGGCATGGAGCAGAAACCTTCATATAATGCCGATTAAACCCAGTTAATTGCTTCCTTTATGGCCACACACAAGTGATGGGGCGTAATTTTAATATAAGTACACATAAAGAGGTTGTATCTAGCATAATCAAGGACCCTAAGGGCTGCCTCGTATTAGAGAAGTAGTCCTTTGTTTTTGCGTTATTTTTTTAGGGTTACAATTAATATTTTTGTGTCTATTTCGAGTACAAAACTTTACCAAAAATAATTTTCACAACTGAAATGCAAAACCCTTAGCAAAAACATTCCATTCTTTTTATTTTTTATTTGATAATTTTATTGTTCCAATACAAGTTCTTTTTGTGAAGCCATCACTCGATCCGATCCATTCGTCCCGAAGCATGACTCTCCCACACTTATATTACTTACGGAAGCTCGGCTCTCCCACACTTATCTACTTTCTTATATTTATTGTACTAAAGTGGTCTGACCTTAACGTTATTTTCACCTTTATTTTCAGCACAAATATTTATGAGAGATCCATAACTACATATATTTAATACTAATATAATAACAAAAAGAGCTTTCTACTCCAAGTGGGATGATAGCCCAATTTATCTCATAATGTACTTCAATTAATAAAATAATATTAGCTTAGTTGTTGGTTCAGCGTAGGTGTTGAACGTAGGCACCACCCACGCAACGCATCAACTCAGCAAAGCTTTCAATGAAATTTCGTAGCAATTTCGTAGCGGTTTCGTAGCATATCGTAGCGTCTACGAACCGTCTACGATATCAACGCCTGCGCGATGTAAGAGAAAAGGCGGTCTTATTCTATATCTGGATTTCTATTCTAATAATCCAGGATTGCTTGATTGGAATGTCCGTTTTGTGTCAGTAGTACTATTTCAAACATTGGTAATTTCTAAGAGAATATTAAATACCTTAGTCGTTTAAGACCGACTGACATCAAATGCTTATTATTTAAATTCGCTACGATTTTGAATATTCTGCGTTTAGGAAATGGTTGATAATATACATAGTAATTGAGACGGAAAATTATAAACTTTAATGCTGTTGATTACAATGAATAGATAAACAAACTCTTTTCAGACAAAAATACATCTTTAATATTAGCCACAGCTTTAATAATCTCCTATTGAAAATATCTTAGATCCTAGGTCACATTTTAAAGGTTCGAGTTTAGACTTGGTCTTGTAACAGGCTGCTAGTCTTCAGCTACTACAATTACTCATTATTGTTCCAGACATCACGGATCAGTAATGCGAGTGGGGACGCATGTGAACGCCGCGACCCTTGCCAACATGGCGGCGTGTGCATCAGTACTGATGATGGACCGATCTGCGAGTGTCGGGATGGAGACTACGAAGGGGCGTTCTGCGAGCGAGGTCAGTACAGTTTCTTCGAAAGATGTTTTTATTATAAACTAATTATCAGGATGATATAATTGCTTTTTACAAAAAGGAATGCAGTTAATTAAGTTGGTATGAGCAATTTAAATGACATCTTAATGTTGAAGGTATCCTACTCTTATTTGTTGAACACTGTTCGAAAGTAAAATAAATGACTCTGCATTTTTTACATAACACCGTCCGCGGTTTCATTTATTTCTTTCGCAGTGAGTGTCGTCTCAGAACCATTATAATAACAATAAGAATAATGAGTTGAATTTGAAAACGATATCTGTTTCTTTTTTTATTAAAAAATGTATAAATATAAATATAGACATCAATAATACTGTTAAAAACCTTGTTGTACACAATATAGCCAAAACTTTCAGTCGAGTTCAATAACCAGTTAATTGCAGTTTACAAATAATTTCTCTTTACTTCAAAGTACCACATACAAATTAAACTACGTATACTACATCATCTTACAAACTTCCATCGCGTGCTAATATTCACTCACGTCTTGAACCAACCAGTTAATAAAACACGTTACAGTTAAATATAACTGCGACGTTTAACCAACCTAGGTTGAACCTTAACTAATGTTCCATTAGTTGAAATGTCAGCTCTTACGGTTTCTGAGCGAGTGAACGAACGAGAGCTAAATGTTGTGTTGGCACGCGAACATCCTAATATTCAGCTTTTTAGCTCAAATGTTAGGTCTTGAGTGGTGTGTTTTGATTTTAGGCGTAGGGGTCATTTAGGTTCTTGTAACTGTTTCAAAATATAACTTGTTTGTCTTGTCTTCAGGGAAAATTATTATTTTTAAAACCATTACTACTAAGTTCAGTTACTGTTAAGTTAATTTTCGTACCGTAAGACAAAGACTTTCTAGAAAAAAAATCGTATTACGGCAAATTTTTTAATAGTCATATAAATGTTATCTGATGAATAAAATTCTTGCTGTCACTGTCTTATACAAACATTCTGACGCGACAGCATCATAACTATTTCCAGGATAACTTTTATCTAACCATTGAAAAATCAGCCTAAAACCATTTAAGAATATTTAGAGCAAAAACATACTTAATTATATAAACAACTCGCTAGCATTAGAGTATAGTTTTGCTTGTCCTTTGTTAGCTGAATGTAATATTTGCTCTTTTTGTAGGAACGATGACATAATTAGCGACAGGACTTTTTTTATCATGATAGTGACTCGTAATGCATTTTATGGTCTGCAAAAATATATAGGCCAAATACATCTTAAACATTTGACTGCATACCCACTATGAATATAACAAAGTACAACATTTTGTTTCAACAAGACCTGAATATTAACTCCGAAATATACTTAAACTGCCGACAATGTTCAGGAATTTTCAAAATTCCTTCGCTTCAATGCACCTAAATTTCTTTCTACATTAACATACATTTTTCTTTATTACAGCTAGTCTTTAAAATAACAATGAAGATTCTATTACGACATTGTTCGACGTCAGACGTTAGGTAGTTAGCTAATTAAGTATTCCCTTCTTCTTTGACTTCACCTATTAATAAGATATTAATTGTTTGAACGCCACTTAATTTAAGTCTGGAACAAAAAACGTCTGGAAAATGTATTTTTACTGAACGGAAGTCTTTTCCAGGTTAGAGTCTAGACGTATTAATTAAGTGTCAATTTGTACTATCACTAGCTTTTTTTCCATTGAAACTTTTTGTAGAGTTTCCAGGTTTGATGAGATGAAAAATGTTAGTGACTTTGTAATTTCGGCTTCGATGTTTCGATTACATTTTGTAAGAGATGATAATATGAATATCTAGCAGTAGAAACAGATTTATCTTCTTAATTCTTTTTTGGAGTTTAAATATGTATAGCATGCATGCAATGTGTTTGTCAATTGTGATTACAAATTAAAAAATAATAAAAAACAAACATTTATTAGGGACAGGGATAAAAATATTGTTTAATTATTATGGATCACTTCAAGAGCATACTTACACACATACTACATACATTGCAAGCTAAATAAAAACTTGTAGAAAATTCTATACATATCTAGTACTATTCTCGAATATAGATGAACATTTTGGAGTTTTTTTGGTCATTTTTTTAGCAAGAAGGCCCGATTTAATCTTGTCTTTGGTGACGATGCAGAAACGGTAACGTAATTTATATTTCCGAGCCAGTGAACCTGTGATTTCATTTTGTTCCTCGCGATTACCAATTCTTACTGTTTTGGTTCCCGGTATAAAAGTTGGTAAAATATATTTTAAGTTGAGAAAAGTTGTGACTACTTTAAAATGTGTGTTGTGAATGTGCATATTTAAGTGAGTGAGAGTCGTATATTTTATTATTTGGAATTCTGAGCTAAATTCTAGATAGTGGTATCTTCCATGTTCCATGAACGAAAACTTTGAAATACTTGATGTATATTATTTCCTAGTTCGTGTACACCTGAGTTTTCTTAGTTGGCTTTCGCGTTTGTCCCCACACAACTCACGAAGCAACTTCAGTAAAAAAAAATCCGTCTAGAATGTCTAAAATCATTTTAGTTCTTCAACTTTGTTGGTTCTAATCAATATCTTATTTTATACATATAATTCTCGTGTCACAATATCAGTTATATAAATAACGTAACGGTTTTAGTGATTTTTATCGTATTTTAAATGCGTATTCAGTAGGTCTAAGAATTGGCTACTGGCTAATCGGATACGGCCTGTACAACCTTACATTTTTTCCGAAATAATTTATATTTCTCTGAGGCAAAACAGCGTTTGCTGAGGCCGTTAGTAATATTATAACAACATGCTGCTATGAAAACACAGTTTAATATAATAGTCCTACCTAAATGTGGGTTATTAGCTCGTCTATAATAAACCACACACTGTCAGTTGTGTTATAAGTCCCAAGAGCGTCTATTTATAGGCCATCAAATCTTAACTTTGGACAGTAAACTACATGTTTAGGAACTTTGTTGATGCTCTAGGACATAAAATGTGCTAGAACCGTAACATGATGGTATCTTGTCTAGAACTTTGTATAGTTTACGTGAACGTACTTATAATTGTAAAATTTGTTTAATAAGTTATTATAGAATATGATTAAATACTTTTTACTTTGAACTTTTTTAGGTACACGTGAGAGAAAAATTTGTCGTTCGCTTTTCGAATTTTTACTTATTACTTTTAATTAAATTCTTTATTTTGGCAACATTTGATTAGTGTTAACTAATACAATTTTATTAATATCATAAAAAAATTGATTCAGTTAAAAAATTGTTTATAATATTCTAAAATTGATTTTCAAGGTTTTTCGTGTATTTTCTGTTTGTGTTCCAGTTCTAGTTCTCCTGGATTATTACATAAACACTAAAGAAAACATTTTTACCAAAGGCACTTCACTGCACGTTAAGCACTGTTTGCCAAGATAACTCAAATAGTTTTGATTCCTCAATTTCATTGCGACATAATTGAAATACAAAAATGAATTAATTATCAGAGAATAATTTTTAATCCATTATTCCTCAAGTATACTACTAGTGGTATTAATTAAGTATTTCGTACGTGTTTCACGGAACACAGGGTGCAAAGGGCGGTGGGCAGCGGTTGTCAAACTTTTTGCTCCCGACACGTGTTACCTACAAGTAGTTTTGTTACGCCGCAACTAAAGTTCAAACGAAACGCTTAGGGCTGTCATGCATAGGTTTTTTTGATGTTGACAATTTTTTTTGTTTGATTTTCGTAACAGCTTTGTGATATTCTGCAGGTGTATGAATTTCAATTTACCTGTTATTATGTAATAAGTTGTCGCCAAATATGTTTTTTTTAATGCCATTATCAATTTGAGGATAAAAAAGTAGGTATGCTTAATAAATTAAAATAAAATATCCTCTCAATGGATCACAATGGATTTCTAAGAAAAACTATAATTAACGATAATTATTGTTGTATTTTGTAGAACAAGGACTTTAGAATAATAATTTAGAATGAAAAATTCTATCTTTTCTTGGCTATAGTGTCAAATTTATAACCTAAAGGTTATAAATTTGACACTATATGCATTACCTACATAAAAAATAAAACTATATCGTTCCTTAACATAACACGGCAGCTGTCAAAGTTTTTGTGCCCAACACGTGTACGCAAGCGATCCTCACTTGTTAGCACAATCCGCGCAGGGCTGTCAAACTTCAGAACATATCGCTCGATTAGTTGTAAGTGCGCTGGATCGACTCCAGTTTATTTGATAAGGGTAGTTCTGTTATGGATTAAGACTAATGTTATACGTGTATAGAATTCTTAGGGTATGGTTATTTACACTTTTTTCTGACATTTATGTGATATATACTCAGTGCTTTTGGTTGACTTCTGAAGTTATAGTTATTGCAATAGTTGAGCCAAAAGCGCCCGCGTCTCATGCATGTAGTTAGGTGGGAAAGTGTGCTAATACAGCTTTTTCCTAGTACTATGTTTTAGTGATTAATGCTCATTCTGTGAGAAAAGGTCTTTGCCAAAAAATAGGCAAACACAAAGTGCTAATATAATGTGATAAGCTTGGAGGTTTGTCAGTTCTTGTTCTGGAATCTAGTGAAATTGTGTTTGAAAGTTTGCCATCTAGGTAACTTTTTTTCCATGAGTTACAAATACATAAAATAGCTACCAAAATATATTCTGTGCTAAGCTTCTCTTAAGCTTCTTATAAGCTTCTCTCTATATTTTATCTCCTTTTTCATCACCAAATTGTAAGAAAAAGGCAAAAAGTGCTCTATTGCCAACTCTATAAGAGATAAAACATGTTATCAGGAGTAGTTGTATATAAATTATTTGGATTTTATTACATGTCAGTGAACATAAAGCATGAAGCGTATCACGATAGCTATTGTTTCTCGAAGACTAGGCATAAGTTATTAGTCAAACAGCTAACTTCCTTATAGTATATTTAATAATCTATACTAATATTATAAAGAGGTAAAATTTGTAAGTTTGTAAGTTTGTATGTAGGGGGTAATCTTTGGAACCGCTGGTCGGATTGTCAAAATTCTTTCACTGATAGATAGCTTCCTGAGTGCTATAGGCTATAAAACATCACGCTACGATCAAATGGAGCTGAGCAGCGGGTGAAACCGCGCGAGAGTAGCTAGTATAAATATGAATCCGTCAAACTACTTTTGAAAGAAATCTTGGACACACACATACTATGCACTATTTTTAAATTTACTTAAAATAAATGTGAGGAATTCATTTGTTGACCACATGAGTTATATTCCTTTAGAAATCTGTATACATTGGTTTTGTCACTAAAGCGATAACGATTATCGATACTGAATTTGGCTAGGGGGTTAGGAACTTAAAAATCAAATATCAACATTGTATGTTTTTATAATAACTATCGTGAGACATACTAAATTAACTAAAATTTGCGGGTTACTCACGTGTGGACTCACCGCAGCGGAACCATCAACAGCGATGCAGGCGCCAACGCTAACCAGTAGGCTGCGCGACGTCGCCGCGTCCGCGCACGCTGCTCATGAGGAAGAACCCCTCTGTGGTTCGAAACTAGTAGAGCTTTTCTCAACATTTACACGTGAGTAACCCGCGAATTTTAGTTAATCAACATTGTACTTACGTATACTTGCAGACTACATGTACGTATTTGAAATTAATTTTCATCTAAATTTTCGACATTTCGTTTTTTCATTAAAAACTTATATTTTTCGTACACGTAAAAGTTTGAAAAATAAGAATAAATGGAAGAAATACACAAGTAAATTCGATAGTCTTATGTTTTCGCCTATTATATCGAAATTTTATTTCTAGTAAATAGTAAAATACTGCCCATGACTTCTGCCATGGACGGAGAAGAAATCATTGATTTATTTACTCCCCCCCCCCCGCCCCCTCTCCCCGCGCCCAAAGGTACTTAGATAAAACAAATCTTCAATAACAAACAATCCAAGCCGCGCTCAATTAATAGGAAAACAAAAATATCTTCGAACTCTTCGTTTCAACAAGTTAATTATGTAAGTCTGACAACCCTGTCCCTGTTCACGGAAATGACATCGCCAACTACAGTCAGACAAAGTGCTCCCAGTTTATTATTTACTTGCGGACATAGAGCAGCGGTTGTTCTCAGCGAAATGTGGTTACACTGCTGCAATTAAGTTTTAATTGGCCTGTATTATTTTAGGCTGTGTGCCATTTTGGTTTCATACTCACTATGTTTCAGACTTTGAGAATTGAGTGGTGCTAAGTTTAGATGTCAATTATAGGTTTCGGAAGTTGAATAGGGTTGGTTTTAGGTGATAACAGTTGTCTGTAAAAATATTAAAATAGTTCTGTTAGGAAGTAATATTTCTTTATCAAAATTGTGTAATGTAATGATTTTCTAATGTGGTTATATAACCTTCTTTTAAGATGATCGTGACTTTGTTTTCTCATTCAATTGATTTTCGTTGTAC